ATCATGATCTTTGGTCCAAAACATTACTGAACTAAAATAAAAAAAATGTGAATAAGTGAAGGTATACACAGACTGATGTGTCTGTTCACTGTACATCTGACAGTATACATGTACATCAAATCTTGAATTTCAAGTTTACAAGTTTACAGTGTCCCCATTTAGGGCTTGTATATATCTGTATGTATCTGTACTGATTCAACATGGCCAGTAGAGAGTTGAGAGTTGGCAATAACTAGAACTTAGCTCAGGGGACTGATCCAAGGCCTGCTCATACCTGAAAGCGAGCCAGCCTATCAGAGAGCTTGAGGCTGCAGCATCACTGGGCTGCCAAGAGTCTAAAGGGAGACCCTACACTGGCGAAAACAAGTTAACCCACCACCCGGTGGCCAGAAAGGAATTTACTAGCTAACCCAGAATTTCCGGGGGCTGATAGTTCATTGACTGGGCTTTCCAACACAGCTGTGCTTGAGGTTGTCTCCCCCCCTCCTTGTGTCAGAATTTCTCATTGGAGAGCCATGCTTTGTCAAATCTGCACAGATATACTTATTAATAATATTGGGTTTTGTACCACACTAAAACAAATGTATCTCGGGGTGGATCAGGTGGCTAACCAATCCTCCAAGATCTATCAAAACAAGGTTAACTCAATCTCTGATAAAATATTTTTACTTAATTAAAGGTGACTTCTGTGTGTTTTCTGGGAAGCTTCAGACATGTTCTATTTCTATAGAATGTGCTTACGTAAGCACGTTTGCAAAACTATAGTATGCATGTGCAGGGGAAATAAAGTAAGATTATGTTTATTGCAAAATGGATGGAGAAGCCAACACCCGACTGTGTAATTCCAGGGTGTCTAGAAAACGACGACCTAGAAATCGATGACCTAGAAAACGACAACCTAGAAAATGATGACCTAGAAAACGGCGACCTAGAAAACGGCGACCTAGAAAACGACAAGGATGGGGTAGCTTGAAGGATTACGGGGTTAGAGGGGTACAGAAGGCGGGAAATAAGAGGACGATAGGAGGGAATTATGAAGGGGTGAGAGGTGGGCAAAGAAGGAAAATTACAGAAAAATAGTAAATATTATTTGTACCGGCAAAGGGTATGAAGCCAAGGAATAAAACGGTGGAATTGGAAACGCAAGGTACGCGAGGTCTCCCCTCTGTTTCGTTTATCAAACAAGCGTTCCCTGTTTGTTATTGGATAGATTTATTTGATGACAAGAATTGTATTAGTTTTTCAGCAGAATCGAAGTGAGAAAGAAAATAATTTACAGTCTGTCTATAAATCCGCTTACCTGACGAATCTGTTAAAAGAATTTACTAACCTGTAAAGTGCGATTGTTGTAACCCGCCACAGAAGTAAGTTAACACTGAAGTTTTCTGAATTTAGCTACGAAATTAAGATGATTTGTGTTTGTTCTGATTGCGAATTATAAATGTATTTCTTTTAGATCGAAAAATTATTAAAGCTTGGTGGTCATTGGAGCTAACCAGTTCCTAAGGAAACACCCTTCCCCTGCTGGGGTGGTGGACAATAAAGTGTTTACCAAGAGAGGATAACCTCTCTTGGTATTTACTGATTAAAAGTATATCGGGTTAGTTTCATGAGCGATCCCGGAGTGTGCTAATAAAAAGAGGTTTGGGGAACGAAGTATTTCTAAAAGTCAAAATTTGGGAAATTTTCACATTTAGGCGGAGATGCTCCATTGATTTATTGATTAACGTAAACCTTTGTTACATGTACCCCGCGAGATACCTACATCTATTGTTCTTGCGTTATTTTCATAACGCGGTTTATAAAACCGTCTCGCGCATTTTTAAACAGCAGTTACAGAGTGCCTAGTGTCGTCGCAGGAGCTATTGTTTTGTCTTGGACATTGCATTGTGCATTGCGTGAAAGTGGTGGAAGAATTAAAGATGAAACGAAGTGAAATTTTTAATTTTGCTCTGCGGCGTTGTCTCTATTTCTCATGATGTAATAATTTATTTCTGAACAATTCAAAAGTTCTACTGGAGATCTCACTGCATATGTACCACGCTATCGGACCTGTGAGGAAACAGAAACTCCTAGGATGATAGGATTCAAATCTTACAGTTCAAATGCAGTTCAAATCTGATGACATGTCAACCTTCATTTTGTCCGACATAATATTTCACAATTCTCGTTACCGGTATGCTACCGTTTCATTTATGGAAAGGTACGAGAAAATGTTGAAGCCCTTCTTTCTTTATTTTCAAAATATAAACTGTCTGTTTACGGTGTTGAGCTGTGAACACAAAAATGGCACGCCTGATTTATTTCCTGTTTGATTTATGTGGGCTTGAACTTCCCGTTAGAAACGACGCGCCAGTGAAGCAGTGTATATTATTTAGGTCATTTAGATTTGATGGCAATTTGTTTAAATTGATATCAGGACAATAAATAGGTCAAAGCAAAGCTTTTGCTTCCAGCAGTCACTCAGGTTGAATCATGACTTCATTGACCATGCTAAAGGAAAATTTGACTAGAGAAACTTTTTTAGTGGAGCTCTCACGCGCGCGCGCAAAGGGAGCACAATTGGCAACAAATTTGGTTACCTTTGCATGGGCGCCATTCCATTCAATCAAAACGTCTGGTTTAAATTTTCGGCAACTTCCATGCAGTACCGAATGGAACAGCATTTTCGCAATATATACCCAAATTTTCGAAAATTAACATCGGGAAGTTTTCTCTCCGCATTCAAATTTACCCCCGAATGTGTAAATTTCTGGTTGAAAAGTTCACATTTCGGAAACGTTTCCGGAAGTCTGGGAACTTTTCCGGGAAAATACTGTACCAATTGCCGCTGTTTCTTAAGTTTTGGGTGAATGGAAAGTGCCCAAAATGCATCCAAGAAATTTTGGTTCTGGGAGAATCGTCTGCTCGTTTTACGATGTGCAAAAAAGTGTGCTGCACGCACATATTAGACCTATTGACCTTAGCATTACTTATAACCAGCCCCGGGTAACTAGCGGCTATGAGCGATTTGCGTGGGTGTTTGCCACATTTGATGAGATTACACTGAGATTTGCTATGAATATGCTATTATGGTTTTGTCCGGGTATGGGGCATTTCCCACACTTCTGTTATGCCCCCACCCCCCCCTCCCCGCGGTTTTTTTTAGGTCGTCATTTTCTAGGTCATCGTTTTCTAGGTCGTCATTTTCTAGGTCGTTGTTTTCTAGGTCGAAGATTTCTAGGTCGTTGTTTTCTAGGTCGAAGATTTCTAGGTTGTCGTTTTCTAGGTCATCGTTTTCTAGGTCGTCGTTTTCTAGGTCGTCGTTTTCTAGGTCGTCGCTTTCTAGGTCGTCGCTTTCTAGGTCGTCGCTTTCTAGGTCGTCGTTTTCTCTAGGTTGTCGCTTTCTAGGTCGTCGTTTTCTAGGTCATCGCTTTCTCAGTCGTCATTTTCTAGGTCGTTGTCAAGGTCGTCGTTTTCTAGGTCGTCGTTTTCTAGGTCACCGTTTTCTAGGTCGTCGTTTTCTAGGTCGTCGTTTTCTAGGTCGTCGTTTTCTAGGTCGTTGTTTTCTAGGTCACCGTTTTCTAGGTCACCGTTTTCTAGGTTGTCGTTTTCTAGACACCTGTAATTCCAACCATCTCTAAAATGTTAAAATGTTATCTGCAGAATAATCTTAAAATCACGGCACTTCAACCAGAACTTAAATCAAGTTCAAAAGCGATTTAGAGACATCGGATCCTAAATTTTGCAACAAATTTGCCCAAACCTATCCCTATCATTATTAATTTTTACGCAATCATTTTCACAGAAAGCAAAAAAACACTAAAAAGAGAAGATCCCACTGACACGTGAGGCAATTAGGCCAAACTAAAGCTTACCTCGGAGGTTTGCTTGAACTTGAACATGGCTCTGCCATTTTCAGGCGAGTGTGCAACCTGAATGAAAAGGTCAGGAGCATTAAAACAGCATGATTTTCCACGCTTATCTTTCCTTGAAAAGCATAAATATAGTTCTAGTTGCTATATCTAATAGTTAAATGGCTAATATATCAATTTCTTTGAAGAAATATAAAGCTGACTACTCACGTTTTCTCCACAACGCCAAAGTGCTCAGGTTGACATTTCAGACGCCAGCGCAACGCAATGACAATCCAACATGAGCATGCGCAGAATCCTTGTCTCCGAAAAAATTACTTCCGGCCGCATATTGTAGACATTGCGTCCTCTATCTTAAAGTGCCTACCATCTGGGGAAGCCCCCAACCAACAGAATGCTGGGTTAACCACCAGTCCACTCTTGTAAAGTTTTGTATTATTTCCAGAGTCAAGATATGGTTTTGCAGCCCTAATCTGGTAAGTCAAACCATATTTCATAGCTGGTGTTTCGAGTGTTTTTCCTTCAAAAAGTTCCTTCAGAAACTTTTCTGTGACAGCCGCCTTTCTTTGAAAACCTGACCAAACTGAGATGCCGTGATGCGCTTGGCCCTCTCTAATTTCCACTTTGCACTTCCAAACTGCTCTCTCGTGTCACATTCAAGTTTTGATACATCTTCCAGTGACAAGGTAATGAAAGTAAGATCTAGATTATGAAATCCATTTACATATTCACTCCAGCCATCACTGAGCACAGGAAGTTGAATTGGTAACTCACTGTAGATGTTTGTTTCATCAGCTCCAATACTATCAATTGAAGGTAAGAGATAACTAAGGGGACTACCCTTTTGGTGTTCCCCGAAATTTGTTTTAACAGAGGTTGAGCTGTCGTTTTTTACATGGATAACTGGTGCAGCAGGGTATGCCTTTTAAAATTTCTCTTGAGACTCTTTAAATATTTCTTTCCTACACTGTGGATCCTTTCTCTTTAGAGAAGTTGGATGGTAAAGACAGAGCTATGCATTTCTTCTTGTCTCCTTTCCCACCGATGGTTTCGAAAAATTTAGCTGCATCCAGGGTTGTGGGTTTATTTTAGCACCTCTTGGAACATGTCATTGCTGGGGCTTTGAAGTACAAGCAGAAGCAACATCACTCTCTTTCAAAGAACTTAACACGGCGTAGGCTAAAGCCGAGAGATGATGACAATGTCCCTATCCGGCTTTGCAAGAACATCTTCTAAAGACAATGTTCGATCCTCAATCGCTAAATTCCAAGATCATTTTCATTTCGTGTGGCTTGTCCGACTTAGACATCAATCGAAAACATTTTCCTTTCAATACACAACATTCAGCTTCTTGAAATGTGACGAAAAGTGCGTGAACATAATCTTCTACAAAAAATGCCTGAGCCCTCTGATCTGATTTTTTTCTCCTTGATAAACTCCTCCAGGCACTTTTTGTTAATGTTTTGCAAACTTCTTCACTATCGGCTGACATTTCTGGCAGCCGATCAAGAACAAAGGAAACAATGATTTTTTTTTTGTGCTATTCAATATGGCGGATGTATAACTCCAGTGATCAGTCCCCGCGCAGCATGCAAAAGGTCTATTATATCGGTTATGAGGTGACAATAAATTAATAAAACCTCATGAGCCAGAAACAAACCAAGCAAAATGCAATGGGAATACAATAATAATAATGATAATGAACTTTATATAAGTCTCATGTTTGATAGCTCAAGCACAGAGCCTTACTAGTTGGGGAGACTGTATCATATATATAAAACTCTAGTAAGATATTGTAAATTCTAATTATAATTTTAACTCTAAATTCTAGTTCTAATAAATAACTACCTAATAATATCTCTGAATCGTAAATTGAGTAACTCTAAAAAAGAGTAAAATGGTGAGGCGAACCAATGCTAATTCTTGCAAAGGACACAGTTGTTACACGAGTCATCTATTAACGAGGCAAAGTCTGTTTTTCTGATGCCTTTTTTAAAGTTGCTGAGTGTAGGTGCTGATCTGAAACCTGCATTTCTGAGGTTATAGTTTGAGTGACTAGTGTTAAATAGTTCGGTTACTGAGCTTGGCAACTTGCTGTGCTTATTTTGAACATGAAAATGGCTATATCCTGAAGTTTCCGATTATAAAGTGTTGTCATTTTTGCTCTGCTTAGGAGATCATCGTACGATGTGGACCAGTCATTGTAGACTGTCTGCATGCCCCTTTTGTTAATGCACTCCAGGTTTTGCCAATCACTAGCCTTACAGAAGTGCGAAATGAGACTAGAGTATGTGAAGTGTGGCATATCGGCTGTTTTATAGATTGTTAGTCTTGCTGTTGTGGGGATCAGATTCCTTAATCTAGATAACACGCCAATTCTTCTGCTTGTTTTGGTTCAAATTTGCTTAATATGTTCCGAGAACTGTAGATTTACATCAAGTATCACCCCCAGTAGTTTAAGCTCTTGAGCCTGCTGAATTTTATGGCCATTGATGTGCACCACTTTCTTAACTTCCTGCGACATAACCAGTCCTCGATGGATTACCTGAGAGGTAGTTGGATTTATACCAGTGACCAGTTAAATTCCCGTCCTCCTCAAGACTGTTCATGACGTTGTCAATCTTCTCACCCGAAATATATATTTGGTGGTCGTCAGCGTAAGCACTCAGTTGAGATCAAATGTTTTCATGGCGACCAGTTCTATTCCCGTCCTCCTCAAGACTGTTGATGACATTGTCAGTCTTCTCACTCGAAATATATATTTGGTGGTTGTCAGCGTAAGCACTCAGTTGAGATTGAATGTTTTCATAAAAACAGATCATTTTTATAAAAATTCCACAACACAGAGCCACTTTGGGAGCATCCACTTTTGACTGCTTTCCATTCTCCACAGGTGTTGCCTAGTCGCATCCTGTTTTTCCTGTTAGTAAAATAGGACTTTAGAAGAGCCAAGGAGTTCATCATCATCAATCTTTATTTATACACGAAATCCTATCATTTGACATGGTCTTCCTAGAAATCGTGTTTAAAACTAGACTAAAATACTCTAAGGAACTATTGACTATAATGTTAAAAATACAAAAACTTACATTATGAATAATAAGAGTTACAATGGGTCATGGTGTATTAGAAAAATCTTTCCCATGAAAGTTTTAAAAACATTTAAACTAGGCAGTTTTCTAATCTCTGAGGGAATCTTTTTCCACAGAACAGATCCTCTGTAGTGTAGGCTCCCTTTTGCAGACTCAGGTCTGGGTCTGGGGACATAATAATTTAACTCAGAATTTCTAAGATTGTGTGAATGTACATTTGAGGTGTTGGTAAAGATCCGCCTCAGATAGGATGGGGAAAGATTATTGCTTATTGCTACATAGCCCATAAGCATGGAGCTTTGAAAGCAGCAGGTTACGGGATAAGCAATCAAAAGCTTTTGCTCATGTCAGTAGTTAATGCCCTAACTGTGTGGTTGTTGACAAGAGCCCTCTTCCAGTCTTTGACCAGACGCACTAATGTAGTTTCACAACTATATCGTTTACGGTACGCTGAATTCAAGCGGTCAAAGACTTTGTTAGATAGAGCTTCGAGTTGTCCTGCAAGTAGCTGTTCGAACACCTTACAATACAATGAATAACATTGGTCATGAAGAAACTAACAAACAAACAAAAGAACTTCTCATGCCGGAAAAACTAAAATGAAATGCATATGGCACAAAAAGCTGATAACAAGGCAATGAATAACGTAAGCCGGGAGTGGAGAAACAAATTAATAAATGTAAATGGCAGTTAGGGTAAAACAAAATATATTGCAAACTGCAGAAGGGATAAAAACGATAATATGGATAATGAGAAAACTACAAAATAGAGGCCTAAACAAGAGAAAAGGTAGAAAATGAGGAAATTGAACTGAAACGAGCAATGTAACTCTAGGGAGCTAGAAACTAGAACAAAATGCTTGAAATGACAAAAGTGCTTGCAGTGGAGTAAGACTAGGAGGATGCAAATAAACAACACAGAAAGAAGGGCTAAACGAAGAAAGCCAGCTAGATGGAGTGGAGAACTAACACTATGCAGGTAAACGCAGAGAAGGGACAAATCATGACAACTTCATAGCGGTCAAAATGTGTCATTCTCCGAACCCACTCCACTGGGGTTCATGCATATGCAAGCCCATTGTTTCCCAGTATCATGTGACATTTTTGCGTCATGTGCGGTCATTAGACTAGAGTGAGCTGAATAACCGGTTTCACAATCTCAGGTATATTCGAAAGCCAGCTGTGAACAGGAAAAAACGACAAGTAAACAAATGCTGAACAGGAAGTCAACAAACACTATATACCACCGACTTGAAAACTGAGGCCAGCAACAAAGCAGGGAGGTACTTGTTTCGGTTGTATGATCGTCGGCGAGGCGATCGAAACTACATCGCTTAACTTTTTAGGATCAAGTTTTTGTTCCATTGTGATTTCGTCGAACTATGATGCTTTCTTCACATGCAAGTAAGTTCACATGTTTTTCTTGCGTAAATTTCTGTTGTTGAGTTACTTGGAGTTGAAAAGCAAGTCAGGAAACATGGCTTTAAATTCATTGACAAGTTTCTTCGTGAAAATGGTCAGTATAGTATTTGTAGTAAAACCTATATTATTTCCGACTAGTGGTTTGAGGCCTGATCTCTGCCATCATGTTTATTGTGTCTCTTCCACCCACAATACTTGTCTCCTTAGTTGGGACAGTGGTGATATTTTCTGCCCCTTCAATCTTGGTTTTTGAGAGTTAGCATGTTAGAAGCAAAACAATCAACACTGGGTGGGAAGGAGCAATGTGGGTACAGCACGGGGTGACCTAACTTAATGTGACAAGGATTGCAGCGAACATAAGCCAAACAGCCTTAGCCCTAGCCTTAATTGTGAAAGTGATGGGTAGGAGTATGTCTTGTGTTTTATTGTTATTTGGACGAATCCATTCGACGAGTTGTCTTGTTCGTATGCAAACAGACCTGGAAGCACAGGTTTTAGAACAAACAAGCGTTATGCTATTTTGCTTGAATTCTGTAATTAGGTGATTTTTGCCAGTAGGCTTTTGTTTGTCAGTGATTCCATTTATCAGTGCTAAAATGTAACTTCTACAGGAAATGCTTTGAATACTGCACCGGTTTAAACAAGTTTCTAGAATATTCAGGTAGAGAAGAGAAATCGGATACTTTGACTGCGTTTAAATATTACAGCTAGGTCAGAGTATGCACAGTTTTTAGCTAGTGTTCAGTAAAAGTGCATTCTAAAGCAGTTTAATTCAGCCTAAAACGCCTGTATTCTGTATTTAATAGCTACATATACTAGCCATTAAGTACTCTTTGCGAACAGCATACAGTAAAACCCGCGTATACTTTTAATTCAGCCTTAACAGGTTCTTATATAAAATGGTACTTAAAGCCAATTTTAGACTACCAAGGTTCTTAAAAGAGGTTCTTATATTTTCATATGAACTTCATTTAAATATATTATAAATGTCATCTCATAATACATTTATAAAAACCTATGGTTTATTATACCGGTAAACCCATAGAAAAAGGCATGCGGACCACGAGCCATAAACAAAACTGGCTATTGATCTGCAAACAACGATTTTAGAAAGGCTAAAAAACAGAACAAGTTACTTACCCAGCCCTTCTTAATATTAAAAGTGTTGGTTTCCACATTTTATTACTGAGCGTCACAATTGGCTACTGCCATAGCTTTAGAAGTTATAAAGTACAAAGCTGGAAAGCAGTTTACATTTCAGGACGATGCCAAATCTTGCGTACTTTCATTTTTGAACTGTCTTTTCTACACTAATTCAATTCATACATTTTAGGTAGGTACTTTTTCGGTGTCCACGTCCGCTTAATAGAGGTTTCATTTAAAGTAGATAAGGGAAATAAATTTGGGGACTTCGGCTACTGTTTGCTTAATAGAGGGTGTCCGCTTAATACAGGTTTTCCTGTAGTTCAGTTTTTTAATTAAAATTAATTTTTCTTCTCCTTCAAAATCTCTAATATAATGCTTGTTTTTAAATGACTGTTTTTAGGTCTCAAAGACAGCTTCATCTTCAGTAAGAATCAAAGGAACAGAGAACTCGTAAGTTATGCTGCATTTGTTGACCTGATTATCAGAT